TTTGTACAGCTGTTCGATAGCATCAGATACTTTTGCTACCTGAGATGTCTGGGCGAGCATATATATATACACCTGCTGATGGAAACATTCATGATTTACGATACTTTATTTCCCACGAGAGCGTTTTCCTCGCGTCGTCTTACGACGGCGGGAAGCGAAAACACGACAAGACGACCAGACCGGAACTGGGACTGAGCTAAGTCTCATTTCACAGTGCCCGAAGACTCGACGGGAACGTGAGAAATTTTGAATAGATTTCCAGCTCCAGTTGTTATGTAAAAACAAGCGAGGATACGGCGTAATCGCACATTCGCGCGATGTAAATTCGTCGCATTCCGTCAATTGCGATGCGGAATGATCAATGCGGGTAAAACTGATAACGCCAAATTATGCTTTGTGGCTCGACATTTGCAATTTGCACCGTTCATATGCGATTCATGAGGAATATGAAAATGTAAATTTGTAAGAACTGCTATTTGTTATTTACTAAATACAAAATAACGGTAACATTATAATAACGGTAACATTATATTAATTTGTAATTTTCCACTCTGCAATGTAATTGTTACGTATAACACGTACGTATTTACATTTATATTATTGAATGGGGAATTATAATGTTAAATGTAGTCATAGTTAGTTTGCATTTATATTGGGTATTTACATATAATTTCCTAGCAGAGTAGATTTTTGGGAAAAACAAATAATACGAATCATAAATCGCACAAAATCTGGCGCTTTAACATCGGAGACAAGGAATTTTCGATCGCTGTTTGAAAAAAACGTGAGGAAGAAATTTATTTTGCCGCAAGAGAAAGTGAAAGAAATCAAAATTTGTGCAAACAGCAGCAATTATCAATTTTGCGTCTGATATTCGTCTCGAAGAAGATCGAACAATTCTCTTTTCTCGCAAAATAATTCACGATCGAGGATCAAAGTCGCGTAATTAATCATCTCGACAGATTTCATCAGAATTGAACGAGAAGAGAGGAGTCATCGTTAAGTAAGCGTGAAGAATGTTTTCGCATGTTCGAAGCGTCGAAATTCGAAATCGTATCGGCTTCAATAACCGGCGCCGTTCGTAATGGAATCCATCGTGGTGGAATGGCAATGACGACGGTCATCTTAGGCGAAGATGTGCGCGCAAAATAAACCGCGAACGCGAATGTACACAATGGATATGATGTCACCGGCCGGTGCTCGGTATTTGGTACACGGGTTACGCGTGATTCGCATGAAGATGGAACGCCCGCCGGAGCGATTTGGTCGTCCGTTTCTTCGCCATATCCGGTCATCGACAGCGACACGTGAGTTCTTCGGTGGCGCGCGAGTCCGCCCGGTACCGGAAGTCACGGAGAGCATTAGGATCTCGCGAACGTGAGTGGCGTTGTACGTAATATAAGAGTGAAATTTTCATTCCAGTGAGTGCCCATCGAAAAGCGCGTTTCGGACACGCTTCCGGTTGAGGATCCACCAAATCGATCGGCACCAAAATATCGATGGCGTCGCGTAAATCGCGAATCTTTAATCTTCTAATGTTTTCAATTTAAATGAAAATTTTCAGAAATTAAAGTTAATCCGCCACAATATAAAGGCCGCTGTTAATTTGTATATCACGAAATAAATTTTTTTCTTCTTTAGACTTCTTTAAAAAGCTGAATTTATTTGAATTCAATGAATAAATAATTAATGTGGATTACGAGATTAATTAACTTACATTATATTAATTTATAAGAGTTAGATAAATTATTTACAGTTTACAGAAGAACGAGATTGTACTTTTTTTTTTGTTCATATTGTCTTTTTCATTCATGTTTTCGATTACTGCTTTTTCTAGTTTAAAAAAAGATCGATATTACTGATGAACAATGACAGCGTCAATCACGAGGATTTCGAGAAATGTCAATAGGTGTAGGTGCGCGAGAATGCAGTGCGTTTCATTAACACCTCTGGCTCTGACCCCCGATGGAACAACGGAAAGCGATGGAGAACAGCGTGAAAAGAGGCCGGCCCCTAAACGTTGCGACTTCAGCCAATGGAGTCGGGAAGGCAGAGGACTTCGAACCCCCTCCTCAAAGGTAGCTCTTGGTGTACGCGAGTACATATCACGTCCTTGCGTCCATGTCTCTTCAAAGGTATCGACGCCCACGCTATCAGTTCTTTGGCAAACCTTCGGCCTCGTACAGATACAGGTGCTTTTGAGTGTCGAGTAGATACTTTGAGTAAATTTGACATTTTGTTTTGTGAACATTTCTATCGATTGTGAACACTTTACCACTTACTTATGAATTTTTTCCTCCTTTTTCTTTTGGAATTTAGAAAAATGATGGACGGAATTTGAATGCAACTCTCGGACATATCATCAATTAAGTAAGTAAGTACGAGTATATTAAGATTATTCAAAATTTTAGATTTGTTAAATAAAAGATAAATATTCAATCATTTAACAATAAAATATTTTAATATGAAAATTTGAACTATTATATGCTACTTGATGCTATAAATATTATAAGAGTTAGGATGCATAAAATAAAATACATATTCGACATAAAACACAGCATATATAAAATTATAGATTGCATATAATCTGATATGGATTATAAGTTGTTCAAGACTTGTTATACAATTCGATATTTCTTCATGATCTTCTTTTTCTTTCTTAACTGGACGTTTAGAAGGCAAGATGTCGGCATAGCTGATGTTGTTTAAAATTCGGCTGTGTCACATCCAGCCAACCAAGCGGCCAGATGACAATATGCGACATTTCCGTAAGTATGAAATATCGAATCTAATGAAGCATAAAGAAATCCAATAGATTTCATAAAGAATCCATAAATAATTGAATCATCATTCAATCTTCTTTCTTCAGCGTGAGGAAGAAGGATGAAATAGAGCTTTATTCTTTACAGCCGCATAACTGCTATATCTTTTAAAAAGAAATATAT